AGCCCTGGGCTTCCCTTCTTTCCATAAGGGCAGTTGTACGTAGCGCTCAGCCACGTTTTTGCTCTGAGCAGAGCTGGGGGTTCAAGTCGTGGCCGGGACACATAGGCAGCACTGTGGGAAACTGCTGGGACTCCCAGGCGGTTCAAGCCTGGTAGTTGAGTTAAACTTTGATGGCAGCTACTTAAACCAGGCTTAGGGCCTTGTTGTCCCAGACACTTTGCAAATGCGGCAGCGAGAGACTTCAAAAATCAGCAAGCAGACGTATTTAGGCAGAAGACGGGCGCCTGTTTGCTTAGTGTAATCCCTCGCCAAAGACCATGAAAGCCAAATAGATGAGCTGGAAGGGAGGAGAGTAGAAGTGGGGGCACCGAGTCCAGCCTGCCCGTCCCGCAGGGAGAGCGGCGGCGAAGGCCGTGCTGCTCCGCGGCCTGGTTTGGTGCGTCGCAAACGGGGGGGCTTCGGGGGCCTCTTGTCACAATAATAACGCATAAATGAAGCATTTCTGTGCAAAAAAAATCAAAACGGAAATTTGGGGGTGGTAGCCACGCTGCAGACTGCTTTTAAGGAAGGGAAAGATATCTACTTAGTGTTTTTAATTCAGGTGTTTTGCAATGATCCTTCTCCTGGCATTGGGGGAACTCATGACATGTTTTCTGTTTCTATTTCAGGCCAAGAACATCCCAACAGCCTGCGGCACAAATACAACTTTATTGCAGATGTGGTTGAGAAGATAGCTCCTGCCGTGGTTCACATTGAATTATTTCGCAAGTAAACAAGATGCCCAGTTTTGATTTTGTATTCCTGAAAACAGCACTGACTGTGCCAGAAATGTTTGTTGTTGTTGTGTTGTTTTGTTTGCATGTTTGTGTTTTAATGTAGTGACACATAATAGCCAAGAGGCTTTTGACAAGATAAATATCTGCCATGCTTAAGAATTAAAGACATTCTAAGAGTCGTGGCCAAAGGTAATCTGTTACTGTGTAATAGCAGATAATATAATAACAGCAGTAATAACAGACCTTCTACAGCATTAAAAATAGTCAATTCTGTTTGGCAGTGCATTACTTGGAAGGATTTGTGATTTTTCAATGCTTGGAACTTTTTTCAGAGATGAACATATATGTCCTTTTTTTTCTAGACTTCCTTATTCCAAGAGGGAGATTCCTGTTGCCAGTGGCTCGGGGTTCATTGTCTCAGAAGATGGCCTGATAGTGACAAATGCCCATGTAGTCACCAACAAAAACAGGGTGAAGGTGGAGCTGAAGAACGGTGAAACGTATGAAGCTAAAATTAAAGATGTTGATGAAAAAGCTGACATTGCACTAATTAAAATAGATTCTCAGGTGAGTTATTAAAACAAGATCCTTATTTCTCTTAGTTTAGTATCCTTCTTTCTAAAAGTTATTGCTAATATTAAAGTTTAAAGGAAAGCCTAGGAGTTTAGTGGTCTGAGTTTTAGAAGATCTTTTTGCTGACAAGGTAGGTGTATATATATATGTGTTCTTTATTTGTTTATTATTTTTTAAGCTAAGTAATGATGTGTATTGATTGTTAATTTTATCAGTACATTATAAGCAAGTACATATCAACCTTTATAGATCCCAAAGAGGTAAAACCACCATCAGCAATATAGTTTACTAGCTGATTAATGCACACACCGCCTAATGTAACTGTCCTGTTTCGAGAGGAATATTGAGGTGGGGGTCCTCTATTTTGGTAAAGAGACGAATGTGTGTCTCATTTAGAAAGTATTTGCACCTCTGCATTATGCCATACTAATGCAGATATTAAAATGGAAAAATATCTTGGGAAGCATCTTCAATATTGAAATTAATGCCAGCTCGGGAAGATACTCTTCCTCTGCAAATAGTTTTCTGAACAAATGCAAATACAACAACTGCATCCAGAATCTTCAACCACATCAAACATACGGCGCTCCTAATCAGCCTGTCTTGTTATTCTGGTATCTGCAAGAGCAGAAAAACTCTTTAATGGAATTCTGTGCACATTGACAGCATAGGGCAGATGCTGTATCACATTTAAATACTTTGTGTCACCTATATGCTCTTGGATGCATGGGATTTCTTGAGGTGCTGCTCATATTTGTTTCTCATATTTGCACTTTTAGTTAATGGCATCCAAACTTAACAGGCAAGAATGCATCATTTAAAACTCATGACTCAAAAATGTGTAGATCTTGCAGTGTTGTTTTAGTTCAGACCTATTCCCCAGTGAGGTCAAAGTGTTTGTGCCAGACTTCATGACTAAATCAGACATCCAATGCAGACCTTTGGATGACCCAAGATACGCAGTGCTCCTGCTGCTCCCTTGCCACCTTTGTCATTTAAAGGCACTTTCTTTCATCATTTTTGTTATTTAAAAACTTTTTTTACCAGCAAAACAACCTTCGCAATTTCCAAAAAGCTTCTCCACTTTTCTCCTGTGTAAGTAACCGTATGAGCAAGAGTTAACTCCGCTTCAACACATAGAATGAGCGTTTTGTTTCCTCATATTTATGCATTCGCCAGTTGTTTATTTGCTCTTTTTTAATGCTAAAATAATTTAAACGGATGTGAACACAGTAGCAAAGTAGGGGAAAGGTCCCCCAGGATGAGAACTCACAGCATCAAACTGAGTGAAGGGTAGCTGGAGAAGTAGTGTGAAACTGGAGGCGCAGGAAGCTGGCGAAAGTAGAGCCAAAAATTGTGGTGAGAAGGAAAGGTCTCAAGAGTGATAGGGAAGCTGGCTTGAAAGGAGGGAGAAGGTGGTAGATGGAGAGGTATGGGATACTGTGACAGAGTGCTTTGGGAGGGGAGCAGTTTGGTGTTACATGGTGCCCTGAGGACATGGCTCCTAAGCTCCCCTGGCAGTGGGACCTAATGGGTGACCAACCAGTTGAGTTGTCTGTAGCAGAGGCCACTGCCAAACAGAGCTTGAACTGGTGGCTCATTGATGTCAGGAATGAGGGAAATACCAGATTGACACATATGCCGGTCTGTGTTACCTGAGAGGTAAAATCAGCTTGGAAAAGCAGAGAAATTTATGGCCTAAACCAGTCTCATAGCACATGAAAGAATAACTCCTGCTGCATATTGCAAGAGGACAGATATTCTTCTTTTTAGAAATTAAAGCTGTGAAATCATCATCATCACATTCCATCTTTTTTAACATATTTGTGACCCTCTTTCACAAGCGATTTGCCAGCTGGTCATTTACAAGTGTTTTTCATTCCAAGTTGTTATCGTCTAACATTGTTTGGTGGTGAAACAGAATATATGATTTCTTGATCTCGCATGAAGCAGCTTTTACCTCTTTAAAATCAACCATTGAAACATTTATAATTCTTTATTTATAAAGACAACCCATTCCTTGTGTGTATTTCCCTTTGACCCCACCTCTTTGCATTCCCGGAAAGCTTTGAGGCTTGGGAGAATTTTTTTTGTGACTTTTGTTTTGTTTTTCCTGCAGCAGGAGAAGGGCTTCCCAGCTAACATTTAAATACTGTGTGTTCAAGTAACACGTGGCACTGGCAAACCCCCATCCTGAATGAAGCCTGAGGCAGGGCTCCTCACAATATGGATGGTGCTTTGAACTTGGAGAATTAGAAAGATAGAATTTGCACCATAATCAAAGACATGGAAATGGAAGTGCGAAATGCACTGAACTGAGAAGTCGATTTTCAGCTTGAACTTTCCTGGAACACTTTCATGGATCCACCCAGGTTCAATGTTTGGACTTGCTTTTTGTAGTGAAAAGCCTTTCAGTCACAGAGATTCATAAAAAGCCTTTTAAGATTAACAGACATGATTTATTTAAACTTACACTTTTTCAATGACTAAAAAAGTTGATGTACAGATGACCTTTTAAGAACCTAGGTATGGCGTGAAAGCCATCCCTAAGAATTTGTTCAGATAAGAGATGAGGTTCTTCCTTTTAAATAAGTTACTTGTAGATGACATCAAAGATGTAGAACTTTTTTTTTTTTTTTTTTTCTGCCCTGGCCTGTTAAGGCAGGGTCTGAAGGACAAAAAATATGTCTGCGGTTAGGAACAGACAGAGGAGGGGTTGAAGTATGAGTTCAGACTGTCAGCTGGTATACTTAAAACACTTAAGATTTCACAGCAGCATGCACACTATTTTTCTTTAAACTGTACACATCTGGCCAAAGACACTACTTGAACTAATTTGGGATTGCGGAGTGGAATAGGAAATGAAATAGGATGGTAAACCCTAGGCATCAGCAGAGATCAATTGCTTTTCCCTGATTAAATTCCTCTGAGGATAAGCATATTAAATTCAATGAGGAACAGAAATTTGGGGAAGGAAATGTTCTTATAATCCTAAAGTGTGGTCGTTTTATAGTCTAGAAAAGAGAAAAACTGTATTTCTTGTATCCATATTGAAATGCAACAGTCCTAAAATCTTGAAAGAAAGAAGTAAAATTGGATCCAACTCTGGGAAACTCGAAGGCTGTAGAATTCTAGAGTACCGAGGAAGATGGCTGTGGATGTCAACAGCTCCAAGGAAGCAGCAATACATGAAAGAAACAGTAGTGTTGCAGGCAATTTGGATATGAATATCCAAAACCTATAAAACTTCCCTAGAAAAATGTGGACTCTGGCAGCATAGGCAGTAGGTAGTGAACTAACACATCCTGTCTTGCAGACACGAGAATAAACTCCATCAAAACCATTGCACAACACAACAAAGCAAACAGATGATTCTGAGCTAGCTGAGGTTGGTTATGAAATAGATCCGAAGACAAATGTTGAAGGAAAGCTAAGTGAGATGCAGCTGCTGTTGATAAACAGGAGGAAAGAAGCCTTGCAGGTGGTCTGGTGTGGAGCTCATGGAGCACAGGCCAAGTCTCATCTGAGTCTCTCTGAGTTCTCCAAGCTGAACTGAGGAGGAATAACTGTGAGGTACCCACGAGCTGTGGGCCCTCACCTGCATCCGGGCTGGAAGCCAGAAGCAGTGACAGGGGATGGGTTTTGCCTAGAGACTCTTCTACCCTCCTTTGCAGATGGGTCACTCCCGTATCCAAGGCAGGACTTGGCCACTGAGTGAGTTTGTGACTGAGCTTTAATTCATGATGGTCCTTCAGTTCCTTCTTTCTTTCTTTCTTTTTTTTTTCTTTTCCTAGCATCTTATTAATGACCACTTAGACTCTTTAAAATCCTGCTCGGCGGTTTCGTGAGGCGGTGCCATGTGTGTGTCGCTGCGGTCAGAGGGGATTTGCTTTTTTCCCCCTGTGTGTACAAACTGGAGGAAGGAGGAAAGCAAACTTTTCCTGTTTATGCATCAATATTTTGATAGCCAGCATGTCGAAAAACCAAGCTACTTGAATTCCAGATGTAAGTGGCTTTTCTGAAATGCTGGTTTGCTTTGAAATCCAACGCTGGATTCCAGTGTCGCTTCCTCTCCGGAGTTGGCTGCAAGGAAGCCCTTGTGTTGCTTCCAGGAGCTGCTGGGACTCCTAGAAATGAAAAAAAAAAAACCCAAAAGTTTGCAGATAAACCCCCATAAGGTCCCACAGCCCTGCTTGGGCTTCCTTGATTTGTTGTAGCTCACGGTTCAGCTCAGCAAGGGGAGACCAAGACCCCCTTGCGGAGGTCGCGCTGATGTCCCTGTTCCCATCCCAAATGCCGCCCTATTCGAGACTTTACAGTGATGATTTTCCCTGCTTCCTTAAAAACAGACATAGCTGCTACTGCATCTTCCAAATCTTTTATTTTAAGGCAGAATGCCAGTATTTTACCAGCTAATTAAAAAGTGACATCGTGAAACAAGATTGCTACTTCTTTTTTATTTTCTTTTCTCCTGCAAGCTTCCCATGCTCTATATTTAGATAAGGAGACTCGCTTTTATTTTTCTAACTATAGATGAAATTCTTTTACAGACTCGTAATGCATTTGATTTTTTTTTTCATTTTCTTTGGCATTTTGTCAGACGGTTTCTAGATTATAGATTATACTCTACAATTCTTTATGCATTTGCACTATGATTTTTTTCTGCTGTAACGATCTGAAAGTTAAACCAGTTTGTTAATGAGAGTAGAAGTGCATTTCCCAAGAAAGTTATATTTATTGCCAGAAGTACTTACAGCTGAGTTAGTGCAGCATGCAAACATCTGTTTCTTTTCCACCTAAAAATAATAATAATAATAAAAAAAGGCATGAAGGAAATCTGGCCTTATTTAGCAAGAATTGAATTCAAAGTATTTGCCCTCTTCATCAGTTTGCTGAATTCCAAAGTGCTTTCTGCAAATTCA